AACCAGTACTCTTATTGAAGATATGGTTGCTGAGTACCAGTGTTAGGTTTCTCAGGGCGCTTCCAGACAGGACTAAATCATGGTTGTTGAACAGAGGCGAAAAATCTCAGGACTTCAGAAGAGGTCCACATACAGACCTGTTGGTCCCGGGATTTCTGCCTCCATTGTCCAGACTTGATGCTTTGTTGTGAGATTTAGAGGCTGACAAGATAGCCAACGCTGGACTTCCACCAGAAAATTCAGTAGTTTTTTTTAAAAAAACCCAAGATGTGGATATGTGGAGAATATCTGCAGTGAATTGCTGCAAAAGTTCTGTTCTTTGTCTTGCCCAGAGAAACTGTCCTCCAGACATTTCATGAAGTATCTGCCACAAAAAGAAAGTTTACTGGAAAGGACCAGCTCTGCCCATGATTTCTGATTACAGGGACATACAGACCTGCAAAGATCCGCATATTCAGCTAAAATCATGATATTCCCTCACCTTGCATTTTTTGCCTTTTGTAGTGATTGCCTGCATGTTTACAGGGAACAACGTCTGGCTACCCTCCTGTTTGCTGTGGGGCTCCTGGGATAAAGGTACTGTCTGGATGGGCCCTAACAGAACTTATAATGCAAAAGGAGGGAGGCAAGGAAACAAGTGTGATGAAAACTGAGTGAGGATGTTCCTGATATGGCAGTGTGTCAGCCATTGAAAATGTTTGGGAGAAAGCAGGGCTACCAAGAATGCACTTCCTAAGGTTGCCAAAATGAAAACTGGAATAGGGCATCTGTACCTTTATTGTTGATGTACATGAGGAAATGTCAGCAGATCACAAGCAGTACTTGCTGAAAATGCTACTACACAATCATTAAAAGTACAGGAGCCCTCTTAGTTTTCACTGTGGTAACCCTAGATAGTGGCCTCGTGGATTTTTTTTCCAAAGCTCCCATGCAAAGTTAGGGTTGCCAGGTTTTTCAAACAGGAATAGATTCCTTTCATTTGTCAAGTCAGCTGAACGTTTCATGTGTTGACACGCCTATATGTCCCAACTCAAATTTCATGTGAAGAGAACATGAGATTAGGGAACATGTGAGAGCCAAGAACTCTTGTGAGACTCCCAGTCAAGAAACTTGAGGTAGGTTTTATGCAGACCTGCCTGCTGTGTGATTCACCTACAGAGTGGAGAGCAGTAAGAACAGGTAACACTCTTCTGTTCATTATAGAAAGGTTTTCATAGCATTTGTATGTCATCTGAGGTCATTTCGCTGTGTGCCAAGTGCTCAGAGGTTGCTAATCTTTGAGAGCAGCTGGCACCTGTTCTTCCTGCTATCTCTGGATTGGATACAGTTGTACCATCATATCGACAGATGTAGAATCTCATCACATTGAGGCAGAGAAGCGTTTTCTATCTGCTTCTTTGCAGTGCCAACACGCAGCCAGCACACAGTCCCCTGGAGTAGCCATGCATCATATGATGCATGGCTACTTATGGTGGAGCTCTATGCCAGCAGTGTACAACAAAGTTGGAGGAGGCAAAGAGGAAATGGGGGACAGTGGGGAAACATCGCAGGAAGGGATACCTTGATCCCCGATGACCCCCAACGGTAGGGAACACAGTGTGATGTTGCCCCACAATTTCTCCCATTGTCCCACAGCTTTGTAAGGGTCACCTGATGAGGTCCTCCATCACCCACGACTTGCAAATTTGAAATACATTCTGAAAGGCAAACCCTAATTTTGGAATGTTGTACAAGAGACACTCTGCTATTATGTCATTGTATAAAATGGGACTTGAGCTTTCATGGATTTTGGTACATTTGTCCTTCCTGGAACTAAGACCTAGTGGATACCAAGGGCCCATTGTATGTGTTTAGGGTTGCTATGTTTCAGAGATAAAAATACATACATTTCAGAGATATGAATACATACATACATAAGGATAGTTGGGCTCTGGAAGCCCTTGTGCACCACCAGTATTTGATAATGGGTATAATCTCTTCTCATCATTCTACCAGCCTTAGATATAGCAAGGGCAAGCTATTTTCTGTGCTCTCTTGCTTTGCAAAGCTGCTGATTTCAGTTTTTAAGGAACATGCATCATGCATCCATCTTTGCCCTCCAAGAAAGATGAATCCTTCATCTGTGATGGGGGAAGGAAAATTGGAAGAATTATAGCAGGGCCTTCCATGTAGGATCCCCATATAGTGAAGGTTATTACCAAATTGGCAGGGTGTTGCTGTTCTAGCAAATTTCCAAGAAACAATTTGAACAAGATAATAATGTGGAACAAATACAGTGTATAGTCATGGATACATTTGGGGGGAAAATGCCATCCTGCTGTGAACGAAAAACCATCACCTTGGGTACCAGGCTGCACACTTTTGGAGTGCAATTCAAGGCACTGACGGTGTGATTTAATATGTTATTTTTTTACTTTAATATTCAATTGATTCACACTTTTTTATTATATTGTACAAGTTTGGCATTAATTTTTATTATAAGCCTTATACTGTCTGATTGTGATATAATGAAGTGTTGTGTAAGCTATTTTTGTAAAGTATGGAATATATTCATAAAACCAAATTACATGCACTTGTTATTCACACAATAATGTAATCATTAAAAAGCAAATCAAGCAAGGAATGCTGTTTGGAGCAATTACTCCAGTATTTATAATACTGTAGCAGTGATCTCAAATATTTGCCTGACAGAGTAATTTATTTAAAGCAGAAGGCCAAAAACCTTCAAGATAATTTCTCTCTGAGAAACAATGTAGACACAAACAAAGTTTGTTACTAGTTAAGTTAATCCCTTCTATAAATATTTAGTGCTTTGCTATAATATGAGCAAATTGTTTGTGTATGCCACACCAAAGCCATTTTACTATTTTCCAAAAGACATGCAAGATACAAGCGAATACGAAGCCTAGTGATATAGAGATAACAAATCTGGGAGCCTTTCATTGTTCAAGGCAGAGATCCTCAAACTTTTTAAACAGAGGGCCGGTTCATGGTCCCTCAGACTGTTGGGGGACTGGACTATAGTTTGAAAAACAAAATGAACGCAATCCCATGCACACTGCCCATATCTTATTTGTAGTGCAAAAAACATGAAAGAACAATACAATATTGAAAGTGATTAACAATTTTAACCAACATAAACTTACCAGTATTTCAATGGGAAGTGGGGCATGCTTTAGACTGATGAGATAGTGAAATTAATTAGGATTATTGTTGTTGTGTGCCTTCAAGTAATTTCAGACTTAGGGTGACCCTAAGTCTAAAGTTTAGGGCGGGGGCTGGGTAAATGACCTTGGAGGCCCACATCCGGCTCATGGGCCTTAGTTCGGGAACCCCTGGTTTAAGGCTTCCCTCCTGTTTTGCATGTGCAGTCTTATTCTTTGCATGTCTAAGAAAAAAATGTATACAGGTTTTAAAAATGAAGGAATTAATTTCAGTTTAAGCATCCCTTGCTATAAAGGATGATCCTTAAATGAGAACTAGAAATCTTAATCCTTATTGAATAGGGTAAAAGTAAAAGTTTCCCCTTGACATTAAGTCTAGTCATGTCCGACTCTGGCGTGGTGGTGCTCATCTCCATTTAAGCTCAAGAGCCGCCGTTGTTCTGTGGTCAAGTTGTTCGCATAAGTGATACCTATTGATCTACTCACATTTGCCTGTTTTCGAACTGCTAGGTTGACAGAAACTGGGACTAACAGCAGGAGCTCACCCTGCTCCCCGGATTCAAACTGGCAACCTTTTGGTCAGCAAGTTCATCAGCTCAGTGGTTTAACCCGCCGCTGCCGCACCACCAAGGGGCCATTGAATAGGGAGCTGTCCCTTATTGTGGAAGCAAGTTCACGCGGGTGATGGTGGTTTTGCACATTTCACCTGGCTAATAAATGCAAGTCTCTTTTGTGGATTTTATTCTATTCAGTTAGTCTCAAAGGTACCGCGAGACCCCCTGGGCATACTGATACCGAGAGGAGTGTTAAGTGGATGCTGGTGGAAAACATTAGCACTTGACAACAATATTAAAGAACATCATCATCATTATTATTATTACAGGTTTTAAGTATCCCATATCCAAAGTGTTTTGGATTTTGTAATTTTGATGGATTTTACAATAATTGTATTTGTACATAATGAGATATCTTGGAGATGGGGCCCAAGTCTATGTCAGAATGTGTAAATCAGCATTTCTTTAAGTGCTAACAGAATAAATGTATCAGGATTAACCACAGGTTCACTGTAATTGGGGTGTGGTAGCTGGGTGCTGAGACTATTGTAGAAACACCATGTTGAGGTTGAAGTGGGTTGAGGAGGAATTAATTCGGAGTTTGAGGCGTGGTGGATTGGAGAAGACAATCCAATAGGTATATAGTGTTGTAGATATTTTTGTATAGATTGCAACTGAACATAAAAGCCTCCTAAAAAACTTGGAATGAAGTTATTGTGTGTGATGTCATGTGTTCCAGCAGAAAGCTTCCTAAATTACACAGGAGAGCTTGGATTCTTACTTGTGGGGTTGGTGCTCATCTCCATTTAAGCTGAAGAGCCGGCGTTGTCCGTAGACACCTCCAAGGCCATGTGGCCGGCATGACTGCATGGCGTATCTTCCTGCTCGAGTGATCTACTTACATTTGCATGTTTTCAAACTGCTAGGTGGGCAGAAGCTGGGGCTAATAGTGGGAGCTCACCCTGTTTCCTAGATTTGAGCCGCCAACACATAGAATGATTGTATACAAAAATTGCATTATTGTTGTTGTTACTTCCAGCTCATTCTGTTTTAGGAAATTCCAGAGAGGTTCTCCAGAGAGGTGCACAATGAGTTTAGTGTCCACCCAAGATATTAAGGGTGCATTAATACAGTCTGTCACCACTTTAACTGCTATGGCTCAATGCTATGGAATCCTGGGAGTTGTGGTTTAGTGAAGCACGAGCCCTTTTTTGCCAGAGTAGGCTAAAGGCCTTGTCAATCTACAACCATGATTCCATAGCACGGAGCCATGGCCGTGGGTGCCTGAATTCTGCAGGCGCTCCCTGGGAAACCCAGCCCAGGCCTGCCTTTCTCTTTTGCACCAAGAGCGGCGCGCGCCTGCCCGGGCCTGGGCCGAAGGGGCGGAGCAGGCCCCGGATGTAGTTCTCCCGCAGGAGCCTCCTCGCCCGCCGCCCCCGCCGCCGCCTTGCTCCTCTTGCCGGTGCCCTTGCGGCCCAGGGAAAAGGGAAGGCCGCCCTGCTGCTTGGAAGCACCCGCCTCCTCCTCCTCCTCCTCCTCCTCCTCCTCCTTGGGTTCAAGCCCCTGATTGCAGCATGTCGCTGGTGGCGGAAGCCTTCGTGACCCAGATCGCCGGTGAGAAAGAGGGAGAAGGGTCAGTGGGGGTGGCAGCAGTGCTGCTTCGGGGCCCCCACGTGCTGCAGGGCTGGAGCATCCCTCGCAGCAGCACTGAGCCATCGGGGAGGATGGGAACCGCAGCCATTCGCAGCTGAAGTGGCCCCTCTTTGGTGGTGCTAGGAGTGTGCATGTACAGCAGTGATTCCCAAGTGTTTTGGACTTCACCCCCCAGAATCCCTCATCATTGGTCAGGCAGCTAAGGCTTCTGGGAGTTGAAGTTCTAAATACCTAGACTGGGTAGGATACACCGCAGAGTGAATACAACCAGTTTGGTACTACTGTATAATAATAATAATAATAATAATAATAATAATAATAATAATAATAATAATAATAATAATAATACAGTAATATATTATTAATAATACAGTAATCTATATAAATAACAATGTAATGTTCATTTGTGGGATTAGCATAACTCAAAAACCACTGGGCGAATTGACACCAAATTTGGACACAATACAAGTATCAGGCCAACAAGTGACCATCACTCATAAAAACACTGAAAAACACAGCGGAAGAGACTTTAAAAGCCAAAAAACAAAACACTACAACGCATGCACATAACCAATTTGTTCTCCTGACATTAAGTCCAGTCATGTCCGACTCTGGGGGTTGGTGCTCATCTCTATTTCTAAGCCAAAGAGCCAGCATTGTCCATAGACACCTCCATGGCCGGCATAACTGCATGAAGCACAGTTACCTTCCTACTGGAGACATACTTATTGATCTACTCACATGTTTTTGAATTGCTAGGGCCTGACAGCAGGAGCTCAAGCCGTTTCCCGGATTCGAACCTACAACCTTTCGGTTAGCAAGTTTAGCAGCTCAGTGGTTTAACACGGGGGCTCCGGCATAACCACATGTGTATTTATCCGTAACCACATAAATACACATGTACGCAAATATACACACGCACATATACATATATATATACACACACACAAAACATATACACAGATTGGGCCACAGCAACACATGGCAGAGGATGGCTAGTATAGTAGTAGTAGTAGTAGTAGTAATAATAATAATAATAATACAGGAGCCCCCGGTGGCGCAGTGGGTTAAACTGCTGAGCTGCTAAACATGTTGACCAAAAGGTTGCAGGTTCGAATCCGGGGAGCGGCATAAGCTCCCGCTGTCAGCGCCAGCTTCTGCCAACCTAGCAGTTCAAAAACATGCAAATGTGAGTAGATCAATAGGTACCGCTCCGATGGGAAGGTAACGGCACTCCATGCAGTCATACTGGCCACATGACCTAGGAAGTGTCTACGGACAACGCCAGCTCTTTGGTTTAGAAATGGAGATGAGCACCACACCCCAGAGTCAGACACAATTGGAGTTAATGTCAGGGGAAAACCTTTACCTTTACCCTAATAGTAATGCAAACTACAAGCAGAGGCTGAGATGATCCATTGGAACGTGTGCCATAAATACCTGGTGGGATCACAAGCCTGATAAAAGTACAGAGAATGAACACTTCAAACTATTCTGGGTTTTCCGAATTCAGACTGACAGAGTTGTAATGACAAATGAACATTACATTGTTATTACAGTACTCCAAAACTTTGAAAAAAACCCAAATTTGACAAAAAAAGTATGGCTTGTTGATGTTGCAATCCCAGGTGACAGCAGGATTGACGAGAACCAACTGGAAAAGCTGACACGATATGAGGATTTAAAGATTGAACTGCAAAAACTCTGGTGCAAGCCAGTAAAGGTGGTCCCAGTGGTGATCGGCGCTCTAAAGACCTAGGCCTGCACTAGTCGCTGACAAAATTACCAGCTGCAAAAGGCCACCTTACTGGGATCTGCACGCATTATTCACCAGTACATCACACAGTTCTAGACTCTTGGGAAGTGTCCGACATGTGATCCAATACAACAGCCACCAGAGTAACCTTTTTTGCTGCATACTAATCTTCTTGTGTATCAAATAATAACATAAATAATAATATAATTAATAATAATAATTTTAACCTGTCTCCCCTCATGACTTTAGCTGCCATGGCTCAAGGCTATGGGATCCTGGGAGTTGTAGTTTAGTGAGGTACCCATATACTATTATTATTATTACTATTATTATGTTTATATTCCACCTTCTCTCTCCATACGGAGATGCAAAGCCGCACACAATTAAAAGTATACAGTACAGCTTAAAATATACAATATACAAATATTAAAACAGTATTAAACATCATTAATATTGAAAAAAACCTAATTCAAGTTAAAACCATAAAAGCATATAAAATGACAGCACCTCGCGATGTAAACACCTTCATCTAGGACAGCAAAGAGGGGGCCATTCTAGCTTCTCTGGGAAGAAGGGAGCTCCAGAGTTATGGGACAGTCATCGAGAAGAGAAGAAAGGCCCTGTTCCCTCTTGTTCCCACCAACCAAACTTGAGATTGAGGTGGGATTGAGAGAAGAACCTCTCCTGAAGATCTCATAGCTCAGGCAGGTTTGTACAAGGGGATGAGGTCAGCCAAACTCCAGGTGTTTTGGACTTCAATGCCCACAATTCCTATCAGCCGATTTGCCCATGCCTGGTCAAGGGCTTTAAAGGTCATAGCCAGCACTTTGAATTGTGCCTGGCAGCCAGTGGAGCTGCTGCAAAGAGGGGTTTTCTGTTCCCTGCAGCAAGCCCCAGTGAGCAACCTGGCTGCAGCCCTTTGGACCAGCTGAAGTTCCCAAGCATTCTTCAGAGGCAGCCCTACATGGAGCCTGTTACTCTTAGGCAGCGAAACGCTGTGTCAAACTACTTCTATGATACCAAAGCAACGACCCTTGGCAGTTAAAAAAAGTGTGAATATATCCTAAACAATGTTTTAAACAGCCTTCCTTCCTTATCTTATGGTAAGAGTTTTACTCCTAAACTTTTTGCAGGTTGCCAGTTAAGTAAGCCTGCTTTGAAGAAATGGGCTTATTTATCGTGTCAGGGGCAGACCAAACTTTTTTTTAACAAACAAACAAACAAAACACAAAGTTTGCAAACTTGGTAGTTGATTAAATGTCCTTTGACCAGTATCTGGCCACTTGGAGTGCCTCTGGTGTTGCTGCAAGAAGGTCCTCCATTGTGCATGTAGCAGGGCTCAGGTTGCATTGCAGCAGGTGGTCAGTTTGCTCTTCTCCACACTCGCATGTCATGGATTCCACTTTGTGGCCCCATTTCTGAAGGTTGGCTCTGCATCTCGTGGTGCCAGAGCGCAGTCTGTTCAGCGCCTTCCAAGTTGCCCAGTCTTCTGTGTGCCCAGGGGGGAGTCTCTCATTTGGTATCAGCCATTGATTGAGGTTCTGGGTTTGAGCCTGCCACTTTTGGACTCTCGCTTGCTGGGGTGTTCCAGCGAGTGTCTTTGTAGATCTTGAAAACTATTTCTTGATTTAAGTCGTTGGTGTGCTGGCTGATATCCAAACAGGATGAGCTGGAGATGTCACTGCCTTGGTCCTTTCACTATTGGCTGCTACTTCCCGGCGGATGTCAGGTGGTGCAATACCGGCTAAACAGTGTAATTTCTCCAGTGGTGTAGGGCGCAGACACCCCGTGATAATGCGGCATGTCTCATTAAGAGCCACATCTACTGTTTTAGTGTGGTGAGATGTGTTCCACACTGGGCATGCATACTCAGCAGCAGAGTAGCATAGCGCAAGGGCAGATGTCTTCACTGTGTCTGGTTGTGATCCCCAGGTTGTGCCAGTCAGCTTTCATATGATATTATTTCTAGCGCCCACTTTTTGCTTTATATTCAGGCAGTGCTTCTTGTAAGAAATGGGCTACTGAAGGGCATCAGAGGCATTAAAAGTAAAATGACTCATTTGATGTGTTGCAGTCTTAAGAACACCCAAAGTTGTCCACCGCAAGGGTTTATTTTCAGCTCTTCTTTTTTCTTTAATGCCTGTCTTCTGTTTATGCATGCATGGCAGTGCTGTTATAATTGGGAAACTTTATACTGGTAATAAAAATAAAATTCGATTGGCTAGTAATAGAAGGTCCCATTCATGAAAACAATTGCTTTGTCATGCAGTTCCAATTTAACTGCAACTGGTATAGCAGCAGTAAAACATTAATCTTCACTACATGAGCTCTAGGGTGATTATACAATACTATAAATAGTTTAGAAATGTATTAGAAGATTTTTTTTGGTCTATGATTACACTGGCCATAGTTTCAGCGTGGTTGTTGATTTTTTAAAAAAAAGTGTTCTCCACTTCTCTCTGGAGAAGCCTACAGCGGTCTTCTCCAGCCTTGTCCCCTCCAGATGTGCTGGATTCAAATTTCCATATTTTAAAGGATGATGGGATATGCTGTGCAACACAAAGAGCGTAATTGTGGAATGCTACTCCATAGTCTCTGCCAAACATACTGTCTATACTCAAGTATAAGCCAGGTTTTTCAGCCCTTTTAAAGACTGAAAAAGCCCCCCCCCCTTGGCTTTTACTCGAGTCAAGGTTATTTATTATTTTACTCTGTTATTATTATTTTTATTACATTTATTATTTTACTCTATTTATTATTATTAGTATATTTATTATTTTACTTTTTATTGTTGTTATTATTACATTTATTATTTTACTCTTTATTGTTATTATTTTTATTATTTTATTTTATTTTACTCTTTATTGTTATTGGAAGAATACGTAAGCACATTTACACTGAAGAAGGTTAGAATCATGGTTTAATCAAAGTTAGACAATCTTATCTTAAATTACAGTTTTATGTAAATATTCAGAAACATTTAACTTACCGATGCCTCAATTAATGTAATTTTATTGGTATCTATTTTTATTTTGAAACTAGTCGTCCCTTGCCACGCGTTGCTGTGGCCCAGTCTGTGTATATGTGTTTTGTGTGTGTATATATGTGTATATGTATGGATATATTTGTGTATATGTGTAAATATGTGTGCTTGTGTATATATGTGGTTTTGCGCATGCGTTGTAATGCATTTTTTGGTTTTTTT